AGGCCCTGTCCATCTGTCCATAAGGGCCATGCAAGATCCGAGCCAGCTGTGTAGATGGGGGATCCTCCCTTGGGACAGGACAGGGGCAATAGCTACAGGCAGGCTCTGTCCCCCTTCTCCACAGCTGGTTTTCAGAGATGCAAAAGCCAGTGTCTCGGTGCAGACGTTATTTCAGATGAAGGAACAGAGAAAACGCAAACAGAGCAGTTCTGGGAGAGGGAACGCGCGCCACACGTGTGCATGCAGCTCACTTCAACCTGCTCCGGCAGAACAGCAGTGCAAATGGCTCACACAACCGGCTGCACCGCAGCCAGAGGTGATCCATAGCCGTACAGCCCCACGCCCGTGCTGCGTCCTAGGGGTGACTCCTCTCAGCTGAAGGGGCCCCCATAGTCTCCCTTTGCTCGATGGCTCCATTTTGCAGCTATTAGCTGGGACATCCCTCTCTGGTCTTGGGACTTGCAAGGGAGCATAACACTTTCAGGCTTCTCTGTACCACTCCAGGAAGGACAGAGAGCATCGTGGCTTGGCCACCTGAGTCCCCAGAACTGCTTCAGACGCAGTGTGGCTTCTCCGAGCCCCTTTTGGGGCCTGTTTTCCAGCCTGCTGGAGGCTCAAAGGTGGATATAGAGGGACTGGGGCATTCCCAGTGTGGAGCTCGCCTACAGACTTCCTGGCACAGAGATGTAGACAAGACCCATAGAGGCCTGACTCGCACCAAATGGACCGGGCTCGGGGAGGCTGTGTTGCGGAGACCACGCTCGCGTTCGATGTCTCCCCTGAAATTATTCTCATTATGGCTCGGCTAGCTTTGCTCGCAACGAGCTCGGTGTGATGTGCAGAGGAGGAAGGCTCAGTTCCTCCAAGGTGCATCGTTGATTTTGGGGGAAACGAGGCACCTTTGAGGATGCGAGTGGAAGTGCGTGCGCCGTCGGTACAGCCCGCACCGGCGCTGCGCTTCCTTTGAGCTCACTTACAATGAAACCACATTAGCCCTGACAGGAAGCCTGAATTGTGACGGTCTCCATGAAGCTTCATTAATTACCATTCCCATCGCGCTATGAAAGATCAAGCGCAGCGGATCAGTTTTAATTGGCTATTGATTCCTGATGTTATTACCGACGGTGGCGCACAGATGCCGTCAGACGTACTGGATGCCTTTGATTATTCTGGCTGGCAGCTGGGATTAAAAACAGCGGGCACACACTTCCTGGCTTGTAATGGATTGCTATGGCATGCCAGCGGGGATCGGTGGCAGGATGAATGGCCTTGCTTTGCTTGTCTTGCGTGCTATTGAGCTGCAGAGAGCTTGTTGTTGTGAAGGCAAATCCCCCCAGGGCCGGACTGCCAAGGAAAGGTGGGAGAGCTTCAAACAACGGAGGATCCGGTGCTTACAGGAGTGAGACGCTGGCAGCAATGCCGGCTGGGGGCAAACAAAGTGTGGGGAGCCGATGGATGCTCATATGGGGCTTGCAGCCCCGTGAATGCCCCTCTATGCCAACGCTGCGCGTCGCACACCGGGCTAATTGCAGGACCAGCCCCCAGCAGCCTCATTAAAGGGAAGCTCTGGAGAAGCGAGCTGAGGACAGCCACGTGCCTGCACACCTGATCCGCTAATCAGCCTCCCAAAACGCAGCTCCCCTTCGGAGCTGAGCTGGGGATTTTCTTCCCTGGGCCCTGATGCTCTTTCATTAGCCAGCGACGCTCCTTGCTGTTCAACAGGTCGCTGCCTGCCCGTGTGACCCCCAAAGACACTTCAGTGCCTGATTGAACCATGATGAGGGAGAGGGGATCGGCTAATCCTGACATGCCCTTTCATTTAGGATTCGCAACCAGTTTCCGAGCTCCCGTGGTCCCTGTCATGCTTCATCCAGCTCCTTTTTCACTCTCCCTATATGCATGCATGCCAGATAACCCTCTTGAAGGCCCTGGCTGCTGGATATCACCCTCAGCCTCTCCCTGCCCATGGGCTGCCGTCCACCCCCTCCCCTTCCTGCGTCCCCCGCGTGTTCGCTGGGTGCAAATGCCCCGAGCGAGATGCAAGCCAGGCTCCCTGGGACACCCCTGCCCTGATGGCTGCAGGGTAGACAAACCCTCCCTTGCTTGTGAAGTGATGATGCTTGATAAGGATGTGATGGTCCCTGCCAGGCTTTGCTGAGGTGGTGATCAGCTGCCTCCTTGGCCGTGCCCTGCCCTTGACGGATTCCCTTACCAGACAGAGACAAGAATAGCACCGGCTAATCCCTTCTTATACACAGGGGCTGCTGGCAGCTCGCCACCTCGGTAGCTTAGAGCAGGGTCAATACTTGCACGAGAGACCATCCAGGAAAGACTCCCGTGTCGATGGGCCAACAAGCGATGCCCTTCTCTCTGCGTTTGGACCGAATCAGCGGGCTGGGCTTGGATGCTGGGGCCTCAAGCTGCTGCAGGATCTGTCCATGCACGTGACCGAAAGAGCTGATGGTGCTTTTGCTCTCGGTAAGGTGCCATCTCATCCTGCCCTGGCTTCCTGCCCACTTCGGGAATGACACCTGCCTCCTTGAAACTCGCCTGGAGGTTTCCGCAGGAGCCCACCGCCTTCCCCTGCCGTCCGAAACGCACGCCAGGCAGGGAGGAAGAGCAAAGGCGTGCTGCTTTGGGTTGTGGCAGGAGAAGCAATCCCCAGCGCAGCGTAGCCCGCACAGCTTTGTGGCCGGGCTCAGCGGCTTCTGCTCCAGATCGGGGGACCACAGGCCTCCGAGAGGGCAGGGGGATGCTGAGCTGATCTCACGTGGTGAGTGTGACCCGATTAGGATCTCTGGGTCTTCATGCATTTGCTTAGGCATGGGTAGGCTCACCAGGGCCAGGGCTCACCCTGCCCTGCACAACCAGGGCCTTTGGAGCAAGGCAGCTCAGGACACTGCACTGTCAGGACCACAGTCGGCCAAGGTAACGTCTAAATTCAATCCCATCCTGAGCAAGGAGGTATGAGTTTGGCCCAGGTCCGGGATACCAAGCTGTCACGGGGCTCTGCTGGGAAGGGAAAGTGTTGGGTGATGAGGCAGATGGTTGGGGCGCGATGGACCGTGCTCCGACCCCACACGTCTCCCACATCTTGCATGTGCAGTGCACCCCGTGCCCCTTTGCTGCCCAGCAAGCGCTGCATCAGAGTACAAGTGGTGCACATGGCACTTGCCATCCCACCATCTTCTGCTGCAGCAAGGATTGGGCCGCCCCAGCAGCCAGCAGATGCTAGAGAGCCTCTTGCCTCTCCCTCAGGCAGCCCCGTGGGGGCCCTCTGGCTAGAGCCTCTTCCAAGAATCGCTGCCTCCAAGGACCGAAAAGCCCTGATGGGAAGCAGAGCGCACGGTCGGCAGCCACGGAAACAACCCGGAGACGCAGCCTCGCCCCAGAGGCCACGATCCTTTCATGCCGCAGGCACTTGCAGCCATGGGGCTGTGCAGACGGAGGGGTTTGCAGCCATGCATACACCCCGGCTACTCCCTGGGGCAAACCGGGGAGCTCTGGAGCTTGTGCAATAGAGCAACCCTGCAGCTCCCCCACGACCGGGCTCTTCAGGATGCTGCGAGGGGCCAGGTCGGACCGTGGCCCCTTTGCTGAGGCTGCCAAAGGGCCGTGGCTGTTTCTATCCAGTGATTCTGCAGCTTCTCTTCCGGTGGCTTTGCTATGTGAATCTCCCTTTCTGTCTCCACCATCACATGCCTTTTGGGGCATCTCACTGTTACCTAACTAGCTCCTGCTCACCTGCCAGTGGCCTCCAGCTCTCTCCCCTCCCTGACCCTGGCCCAGGTGCCTCCATCTGCCTGGCCCCTCTTTGCCCTGCGTGGCCGGCTCACGGCAGTGTCACCGTTCAGGTCCTCGTGGGTGGAACAAGCCGTGACTCAGACTCGCTGTCGCTCTCTCTCTTGACCTCAGCTTCCCTCCCACCCCGGAGCCAGAAGTCTTGGGATTCAAGCGGCTTTTTCCTTTGCAGACTGCCCTTGCCCTGTCCAGTTTCTAAGCCCTTCCCTTGCTCTCCTAAGTTCATGCCTCGTTGCCTCTAAAGCTCTGCTTTCCTGGCCCGCAGAAACCCCTGTTCTTGGGCAGGGACAATTTGGAGCTATCGCTGGAGCAGGTTTTTGGGTAGCGAAAAGCCCAGCATGGGACCAGGAGGAAGGTGGGAGCCACGGTCGAGCCTGGAACTGCAATCAAGGTGATCACAGGGCTTAGTCTTAGCAGACTGCTCCAGCGGTGTTTGCAGGGGAACGGGCACACCCACCGTGCTAATAAGACCTGCGGTACCACCTGACATGGGCTCTAAACTGCTGACAGGATGGATCACGGAGGATCTCCAGCAGCCACAAGAGCCGGTTCCTCCCTCTGCAAGAGCAAAGGCCAAGGCTGCACTCTTCCCTGGGAAGCAAAGCCCCCACTACAGCTGGCAAAGCACAAACGATTGGGGTCCCAGCTGCAAGGCCCAGACCTTGCACTCACCGTGCTCTCAAGAGGTGTCATCTTAGGATGGCCTGGCTTTGCATGACATGTCCCTGGCTTGGGCTCTGTCTTGTTTTCTGTGGGTATCAGGTGGCTCGCTGCATGTTACCAAAAGAGCCCCAGTGAAGCCAACTGTGGGCCCTACCAAGCCAAGGGACACTATGAGTATCTGGGGGTGAAGACAAGCTGCCCCTCTCTCTCTTTCAGTGCTAATTTGCTCAAGCAACTCAATTCTCATCACTTCTTTGCACAGCTGAAAAGTGAAGTGCTATAGTGGACACCGTTTCACCGGGCAGCCCAGAGCCTCTCCGCGTGTGCACTCAGGATTGCACTCTCACACCTCCCCGGCCAACATAAAACACCTCTGGGTCGATGAGATCTGCGGGTTCGGGCTATGTCTGCAAAGGGGGCACGACTAAGGAAAGGGGCAGGGTGAATCCACACGCGGCTCGATAGCAGCAACCCCCGTTCTCTGAGGAGGGAGCTGGCTGGGCGCGTCCCCGTGCCGGAGAAATGCGTTCACCCACCTATACAGACAATGTCCATGAAGCCATACATCCCATAGCAGATCTGGAAGAGCAGGTCCTGGCGCTGCCACTTGGCGGAAGGACTGAAGGTCGACCAGATGAGCCACGAGATACTGGCGATGAGGAAGAGGGACCCCAGGATGGCCGCCGCTATCTGAACCTTCTCGATGACGGTCAGAGAGATGGCCTGCCACTGCGGGGGGGGGGAAGGTGGAGGCAACGTTGAGGGGCAAAGAGAGTGGGGGGAGGAAGGAAGGAAAAAGAAAGGAGATTAGTTCCTTGGTGGACTATTGCTTTTCCCCCCCCCACTGCCTGGTGGTTTTCCATCCCAGTGTGCTTTGCTATTCAAATGGGTTGTTTTGCCCACCACCAATGTGCAGCTGTCTCTGGGGTGGAGCAACCCAGCACAGTCATGGTGCACCACGTCCTAGAAATGGAGACAAGCAAGAATCCTGCGTCCGGCTGAGACTTCAGAGAGAGAACAAACTCCAACGGGAACAACCCCCCGCTCCCCGGACACGGGCAAAGAGAGCGGGAATGGCTCCCGATTGAAGCCTCAGCCAGAAGCCAGGCTCTCAGGAGGCGATGCCACCATGGTGAGGCATGAGCAGGTGCCACCAAACACATTGACAGTGCCACCAAGACTGTGCCCCACGATCGCTGCACAAAGCAGGATCATCATTTCGCCCCAAGGGATGACGAGGTCGAATGGTCACAAACTACTTCAAGACCGTTTCAGGCTGGACATAAGGAAGAACTTCTTTACTGTCCGAGCCCCCAAGGTCTGGAACAGCCTGCCGCCGGAGGTGGTTCAAGCACCTACATTGAACACCTTCAAGAGCAAATTGGATGCTTATCTTGCTGGGATCCTATGACCCCAGCTGACTTCCTGCCCTTTGGGCGGGGGGCTGGACTCGATGATCTTCCGAGGTCCCTTCCAGCCCTGATGTCTATGAAATCTATGAAATTGTGGAGGCAACACATCCCCCCAGGGCACACCGCAGACGTGGCCAGGCTCCCTTTTTCACCAGGCGTGTGATGTGTGCATTGCACTAGGGGACAGGTGAAGCCACTTCTAAAGGACCAGTGATGCTAAACCTGCTCCCCATGGGAAATCGGTTTGCTACAGCATGGATGTGCATGGCCCCTAAGGAAATACAGCATGCCTCCGCTACTCCCACTGCAGGGACTCGGTTTGCCCTGGTGAGGGAAGTGTCTTGCTGCTTCCCTGTAAAGGTCAGTGTTGAGAGGGATTGAGACTGAACTTGGACACCTTCCCCGTACACAGCCACCTTTCCCAAAAGGCAGGGGAGACGGGCCATCCTGGCAAGGGACAGCTGATCTCTGCATGCAATGGAGGCTCTCAGAGACTGGAACGAACCAGCATGGAAACGACGGGGAAAACCATCAACAACCCCCACTTCAGACCCCAAACACTGCTACCGGCCTTCCTCGTGTGCACCAAAACACCGCCGTCCAGGCAGGTGCCAGCGTTACGCTCCCCTCTCCTCCTCCAGCGGGCTCCATCCAGCATGGCCAAATGCTCAGGGCACGAGGCCAGCATCAAACCATCCTGCCCTGCTGCTCTGGTGTGGACAGAAGGAGGAGTTCGGTCTCTGGGGCCTTTCCCTTGCCCTATCTTCACTTGGGAGCCAGGATGGCAGCCTGCTGGACACCAAGCCAGTCTAGCCATCTCTGTGCCAGCCAAATCATCCTGCCTCATTTCATTCTCAAGGGGAGGCGGCAGACGGCTCACCATCTGCCGGCAAACCGCGACGCTGGTCTTGGCAACAGGTCTTTAAAGAGGTTGTGTCCACCCCTCCACTGCCGATCTGCGCGGGCACGGGGCAGCCGGCACCGTGGCGCTGAGTGCGAGGTGCTTCTTCGGGCAGGCTTTGAGGTGGCTACGGTGCTGCATTTGCAGGGTTGCATGTGTGCTTGGCAGGCCACGACCTGCTTCTTGGTGGCCGTTCAGGTTGCAGGTATGCCCTCAGCGCAGGGGTCAAATCCAGCCCACGCAAGCAGGGAGCCAACGTACTGCAACACACCGGTGGCTGCCCGCGGGACCTTCCCGTAGCCCTTCTTCTGTGACTAGCAGCCACTTGGCACACACACGCAGCAGTAGTAACAGATACCCAAGTACTAAATGATGGGTGTTACTGCGCAGTAATGTCTCCGCACGGGCATCGTGGTGACGCTGACTGCGCACTAGCTCGTTACTACCGTGCAGTCGCGTCGCATCACGGTTCGTGCCCTGCAACGCTAGTGTCTCGTGTAGACGTGGCCCATGTCTCGTAAAGACCCTATCACGAGGGCGTAGTGAACTGCCTTACAAACATCACCTGCCTTCCCAACCTACCTCCTTGGCTGCTAAGTGTGCGTGTGCACGTGTACACGCACGTGCACAACACCTCCCTGTTGTTAGGTCACTGGTACATGCGAGTTGAAGCTCTTGCCAGCATCCCCTTCCTACAAGGGCCACCCTGTTTTAGTCATCCTGCCACTCTTGTTTTGAGCGCACAAGTATAGGTGCCAAAATAAAAAGAAAGCCCCCTCAACACTTGTTTCATGTAATAGCAAGGTTAAAATATCAATCGCTCACAAAACCAAGATGAGGGAAGTCGGAAGCGAGGGAGTCTGTCAGACAAAGAGAATAAGCCAGGGCCATTTCCTCCGTCTCTAATGACCGTTGTACGCTAGGTAAGCGCTGCGCAATGTTCGTGCCGCACCTTGAACAAGGCACGGCGTGCGTGGGCTGCACGTCAAGAGCGGCGCTTCCCGGGGCGTGGAAAGCGCTGTGGATAACCCGTGCCGCGGAGCTGGGCCGACCTCGGGGCTCTTCTGGAGCAGACAGCGTTAGAGGAGCTCTTCATGGGAGCAGGTGCAGCTCGGCAAGCTCGGCATCCCGCTTTTCAGAGCAAGCGACAGCACGGGCATCTGATGGATTGGCAGACACCAAACTCGTCGGAAACAGCTCTTCTCCTTCGAGCCAGCCGCCCTCCGCCAGCCAGCGCTCCCTCGCCGAGCCGGGCTGCCGGATGCCCGTGCCGTTCTGCACAGAAACCTTGGATCCAAGTGTCTCTGCACGTTCAGATTAGACCCAGATCGGATCCTCGTGATTATGCCGAGTCTAGACTGGCTGGACAGATGGCAGACTGTGCTCATCTTCTTGCCACCCCGCCTCTTCCCATTTGTTTTTCACACCGTAGCATCGTGTAGCTCCAGTGCTTGGGACGGCGTTTCGTTCCCCGTGGCTTGGGTTTTCGGTCTTCCACGCAGCGGGGACTTTGGCTGGAGCCTCTTGGTGTTATGGTGAAACAGCTGGTGCTACCTTGGGGCTTGATGCATGTCACACTGGAGTGGCTGCAGCGATCTCTGGATTTCTACCAGCGCCGGCAAGGCAGGATCACGCCACGTATTGAACCAAAGAAAATCACTGTGCCTTCTTGAGGCCAGGCTGCTTCCTAGAAAACCCTCCCCAACACGCTCCCACCCTGACGTCCATCAGTTCGGTTCATTTTCACCGCTCTAACAACTTCCAGTCTCAGCCGCTTCCCTGGGCCTCAATACAGAGAAGTTCGGCCTTTGGATTTGGAGAGGAATACAGAGTTGGAGCTTTTCCTGGGACAATACAGCAGGTCCCTTGCCATGTGCTAATCTGCTGCATGATCGTTTCATGGTTTTCCCAGAGCTTCGGGAATCTTCCCTCTGTTGTCTTCTAGAGGATGGGGGGTTTCCTTCTCTTTCTTCAGAGGAAGCCCAAGCAAAATGCACATGACCCCGGGCAGCTTAGATGGCACGGCTGTGAAGGCACCAGCTTCTTTTGCGGGGAGCAGGGACAAGAGTCCCCATTTCTCGAGGTTTTTGCCCCAGAGACAGGTGTGAAGTTCTGATACGCCTGCTCACACACGCGGTTGGATGGGGGCAGAGCAGCCCTCATGCAAAGCAGACGGTGTGTCTAGGTCCAAACCCAGCTGACCTCAGCTCCAGGGTCTCAAACCTAGCAGCCTTGCAAAACTTTAAAATGGGCCACCCATTACACAGTGACCATTGTGTCTGAATCCAAAGCCGGGAGGGTTTTGGACCTGGGAGCTTTGTTCAGACCCCGCTTGCTTTTGCTAAAAGCAAAGGACCAGGTTCAGCTCTTGGGTGCACAGTGCAATGCAGGAGGGACCTGTGGTGGGTGGTGTGTTGGGTAAGAGCATTGAAACCTGGGTTTATTCTAGCTTTTGCCACTGCCCTGCTGCCTGACCATGGGCCAGTCATGTCAACACCCCGTGTCTCAGTTTCCCCACATAGAAAATGAGGGTTGGAAATGACCCCAGGAGGTCATCTAGTCCAACCCCCTGCTCAAAGCAGGACCAGTGAGGATCAGGATGCTGATCTGCTTGATTTGGGAATGAAAAAGAAGTGCTATTTTCCCTGCAAGAAGCAGCTCAGTTGGGTTAGGAACAGCGAACCCCGCATCTGTGCAGAGTTTGGGACGAGACGACCCCTGCGGTCATCCAATCTGGGTTCCCAGAGGAATTGCTTTGGGGTTTCCTATGGTTCCTGGCACCACTTTGCTGCATGCAGTGAAATGCCCTTAGATCTCATCCCAGATACACCCCTCCCGACCCAGTGTGGGAGGAAAGGGCTAAAGCTATCATCTACGTCTGCAGCGCTGGGGCTAAGGAGAGCTGCGACGCCGCGCTGAGCTGCGGAGGTGCCTCTGTCACTCCCCGATGAGGGGCAGGGAGGGCTGGAGACCAGAGCTCTCTTCCCGCTGACACCTCCACCCCTGGCTGCGGCAGGTTTGAGACGCTCGCTGCCCCCAGGCATCAGCTCTCAGCACTGGGGAATCCCAGCGGCTAATGCCAGGGGGCTAATTTAATAGTGGTGCGTGCAGGAATGTGGAAGCATCGCTGCAGCCCAGGGGTTGGAAAGGATCCTCTCGAATTAAATATGAGCCCTGCTCTCTTGCTACAGCTTCTCTGCCCCAAGCACAAGCCTGCACATGCATGTGCTGTGTGTGCAGCGCTGCCCTCAAATCACACGTGCGGAGCGTCGGTGAAACATGTACAGCCCATGCTGGAGCACACGCTGGGCACATGCACATGTGTGAGGTATGCGCTGAACTGCAAAGGAAGCCTTGGCTTATGAGAGCAATTTTGTGCCATTGAACTTGCTTGGGACTGTCTGGGCTCTAAACATAACATGGTTTGAGCACCAGGGACTCTGGCTATTGGTAGTACCTATGGGGCTACACCAGTTTGAAGGCACTGGTTCCAATCCAGGTTCAGACAGGGAGGATCTTGCCTTGAGCAGGTGGCTGGACCCCCCCGAGGGCCCTGCCAGCCCACCTTTCTATGAAAAGCAGTTGTGTTTGTTGCTGCAGAAAAGTCCTGCGGGGACAGGGGACAAGAGGCTGAACAGGAGCCAGCAGTGGGCCCTTGGTGCCAAGAAGGGTAACAGCATCCTGGACTGCATGGGTAGGAGCGTTGCCACAGATCGAGGGCAGTGATTCTTCCCCTCTATTCAGCACTGGGGAGGCCACATCTGGAGTGCTGTGTCCAGCTGTGGGCCTCCCACTGCAGAAAGGATGTGGACACGTTGGAGAGAGTCCAGTGCAGGGCAATGCAAATGGCTTTGGGGCTGGGGGACAGGACTGGTGAGGAGAGGCTGAGGGAAATGGGCTGATTGAGTCTGCAGAAGGGAAGACCGAGGGGGATTGAATAGCAGCTTCAGCTCCCTGCAGGGGGGCTGCAAAGAGGATGGAGCTGGGCTGTTCTCAGTGGGGGCAGATGACAGGACAAGGAGCAATGGGCTCAAGCTGCAGCAAGGGAAGTTGAGGTTGGATAGTAGGAAAAAACATCTCATGGGTAGTAAAGCACTGGCACAGAGAGGTGGGGGAGTCTCCATTCTTGGAGGTGTTTAAGACCCAGCTTTACAAAGCCTTGGCTGGGATGATGTAGTTGGGGCTGGTCCTGCCTTGAGCACGGATTGGACTCGATGTGACCTCCTGAGCTCCCTTCAACCCTCATTTTCTATGATCCTATGACTTATTTCTCCCACCCACAATGAAGTGGTCCAGCCCCCCTAGAACAGAGGCGGGCTAATGGGCCGAGGGAAAGCCCCCCGTCCCTCCTCCCTGCCTGGACAAACAGAGAACTTCTGATCTCCCTGCTGTGAGGAAGACAAGCCACGGACACTGTGTCTCTGCATAACCTTGCCATCGACATAATGCAACCGGAGGAGGCCATGCCCCATGGGAACCCTGCCCCACGCCTCTTCCTCAGTCAGCTGTCGAGGGGTTAAGCAGATGCAGTCACGTCCTCCAGACATTTAAAGACCAAGCCCCTATCATCCAGGGAGCAAGAGTGCTACAGAGCAAACCCAGCAGTTTGTTCTCGTAGCGCATGGCCTGTAATGCAACAAGCATGCGTGCGCAGGTCACGCTCAGGCCTGTGCGCGTGGGCTCGGGCGTGCATGGTGCATACAAGCACGGACTGGATGAATTTGGGGGAGAATTGGAGAGAGCGCAGGTGCAGCTGGGGCTGTCTTTCCAACACGTATGTCTCTGTGCACTCGGGGATGAATGCACATGTTGTAGCTATTCAGTCCAATACCTCCTCTTTTTGAAGCAGGAGCTCTGCGCTTAGCCCCCATGTTTGTGAAGCCTGAAACAGAGCATGAACACTTTGCATTGCCAAGGTCCCCTGTTCCCCCCTGACTCCAGTGCCCAGCGGAAAGCTCTGTGATTGCGATGCTATCGCCTCATTGCTCTTTATGACGATGATATAAGCTGCCCGGTGTTTAAATCGAGCCACAAAAGGCTTCCTAAAATGTGCCTTTGAAGCTTGGGGAATGGGCATTTGTCCATCTGACTCTAAGGGAGCTTTGCTAATTCCCCAGCTTGAAATCTGGGTCTCAGACCTCAGATCCTGCACCAGCATCAAGCTAGGACACGATCCTTCGCAGAACTGGGCAGCACTGGGGGTCTTCCAGGGAAAGGCTCCATTTGGTCTAACGAATACAAACCATTAGCATTCGTGTCGCTGCGGTGACCGAACATCCCACCCCTGCGCAGCAACATTTAGGCGTCGGCAAAACAGCTCTCAAGAAAGCCTCGAAAGTGCCTGGGATGGAAAGTCAGGGGGCACGAGCAAGACCCCAGCGCTAATCGGTCCATCGGTCACTGCGCGCGGTGCAGGAGAGGACACGCCGGGAGACGTGGCGCATACCCCAGTGACAGCAATAGGGGGAAAAGATAGACGTTGAAATATCTCTAGTACCTTTACCTGCAGGGGGTTCTTTGTGCTTATGGCAATGACGTGATACTTGTAGTAACACAGCTCGCAGCTCCAGCAGCCCCGCTCGCTGATCCACTTGATGAGGCACGGCTGATGCGTGCACTTCACCGATCCGTCGCAGCGACACGGGCTCAGGAGCTCCCCCTGCAAGAGAGAGGCAGGTTGTGAGTGGGGAGAGGAACCTGCCTTTTATCCCCCCACCCCCAGCAGCCTCATTGCCACGGCCAAACCGGATCATTATCCACCTTTTCCCTGAATTTCTTTTTAAATGAAGCTCCTGCCCAGATCAGAATGGGTCTCTCAGGCTCATCTCTAATTCCTGCCTATTTCTACCATGATCTGCGGGGAAAAGCTCTCGAATGCCAGGACTAATCCAACCCTGTAAGCAAGCCCGTTCTAAAACCCAGACGTTGGTTCGGATGACCCGCAGACCCAGCTCATTTTGGAGACAAACCCGGCCCTGACATGCAATCCACGCAGACCCTGTCCAGACGGGCGCTGGCTCATCGCCTCCCAGACTTTTGCAGGGGCTTGGGGACACCAGGGCAGCACCGTCACATTTGAACCCGCATGAGAGCTCTCTTGCTAAAGTTTGCCACCTTCCCGTGGAAACACAGGGGGTCCTTTCACCGTCACCTGCCAAAACGGCACTGCCCCATTAGGCTTTTGACCCATTTCCAGCTGGTTTCAAGCCACCTGATGGATCTCTACTGGATGCTCAGATTTGCTCTGGGGCTTCAAAGCCTTATGCGGCAGAAGTACATTGTCCCCAGGAAGGAGGAGAGGGAAAGGCAGACAGGGCACCTCTAGACCTCCCCGTGGCACTCAGGGCACAAGGCGTCTTATTCTAGATGAAGCTCCCGTTCCCACAGCCTAATCCTCATCTTCCCTTTGCTACTGAAGGTGCAGGGCAGACCCTCCCCGTGTCGGGGCAGGACGTGGGAGGATACAGCCAGGGGTGTTTCTCCTTCCTCGCTGTCCCATGTGAAAGGCCACTGAAAGCAAAAGGCAAGTGCTCACGATTTCCCGGGGATCGGGCTGGGGTCATAGAGCCGCAGGAGGCGGAGAGCTGAGCTGGGCAAGACTGATGCTTTTTTTTATCAGCTCTAATGCAAAAATGTTAATCACTTCGCGCAGCTCCACGGGGTGACCCAGAAACGTCACTTTTCATGGGATTCCAGCAAAATCGTAAATAACTATTTACTTTCCGAACCGGCTCCCATCGGCCGGCCGCCCGGTGTTTGTCGCGAGTGGGATTTGATGCAAAAGGAGGCTAGAATTTAAGCATTTCAAAAAATGTGCTTTTCACCCAAAAATAGGGCAGTTCTTGGGCCAAGAGGGACCTGCTGAAGAGAAAAGTAGCGAGGTTGAGAAGAAAAGAAGTGAGCAAAGATTTCTAAGGATTTAAACTATCTGCCCAAACTTGAGCTTGAGGTCTGGGGATTTTGCTTCACTCTGAGTGTGTCTCCATGTGCATTTACGCCAGCTTAAATTTACTGTGCAGTAAGCGGGAATAGGCCAGCATCTACGTGTGCAGGCATTAAAGAGCCTTAAAGGCTGTGTGTGCACTAACTTGGGACTAAAGTGTTACTGCGCAGTAAGGCGTCCACACATGCGTTACTGCACAGTAAGTAATCGGGTGTAAATTCAATACCTTCATGATGCAGGTATCAAATTTACGCTCAAGCTGGCATAGGTCACCATATTTACTGTGCAGTAGGGGTGTGCATATGTAGTCGTGCACCCGTACTGTGCAGTAATTTTGGTTACTGCACAGCAAATGCACACATGTAGACGTGCTTTCTGAATGGTTTCCAGCCAAAGGGTTGGGCTAACGTCTTAGCAGCAGTGCCATGCAAGCTCCAAGTGCCTGCCATAACTTTTGACCTCCCTCTCCCAACACACACAGAAAAGGATGTATTGGGGTTTTTTTGGAAAAAAGAAAACCTAGAACATTGGTTTTGAAGACCCGGCTCAACCAAACCTTGGCTGGGATAATGGAGTTGGGGCTGGTCCTGCTCAGAGCAGGGGTTGGACTAGATGTGACCTCCCGAGGTCCCTTCCCACCCTCCTTTGCTACGGGTCTAGGATTCATTGCACGCTCTTCTTCTACGACAGGGTGGAGGGAAAGTGAGAATGAACTGCATACATGAGAGATGTTGCCTGTGTCACTGGGCATACAAGGAGAAGGCAAGAGCTAGGAGGGTCACAGGAGACCCGTGTGGGACAGAAGAGAGGCAGCCTCCAGGCTAATGGAAGAGCTCAAAGCTCTCCTCCAGCAGGCACAATATGTCCCGTGTTACATAGGAGGCCAGGGCACAAAATCACAACGGTCCTTTCTGACCTGATCATCGACAAATGGGTGAAATCTGACCTTGTTCTTGAGGGCAAAGGGGACACGCGTCAACCTCCTGGGCCAACTGGGATGAAAGTCCCTTCCTGCAGACTGCTGCCTGCCCAGAGAGAGCGACCGTCTCCAACAAGGACTTGGTAAAACATTCAGAGAGATGCAACCCCTTCTTTCTCTGGGGTTGTTTTGGTTTTTTTTGCAAATCCAGCAGAAACCTGATTTATGGCCTGCTCCTCCAGCAGTGTGAATGATGATATTGCTGGGCAGGGTGCACTGCTAGTCGCACGTACCAACCCCAATTTTGTACGCAGCAGGTGTTCGTCCAAAAGCCCACAACCTATGGGCATATTAAAGGAATAAATCCTTAGCGCGGCAGAGGAAAGCACCTAATCTCTGATTTTACATCAAGCTGAAAAACAAACAATCCGTCAACTGTGCTTAACATGTGAGCGGTTCTCAGCCCCAGGGCCTCTCCTCCACTCACAAAAATCAACTGAAAACAAGACAGAGAAATTAGAGATGGAAATTAGCTCCCTGCATCCGTTTCTCTTGATTGTTGTGAGTTTTTTTTCCCTAC